CAAGTTTGCCTAATACACATTTTTTGCAAAGCAGATATCAGTTATTTATTCATTTCATAAGCTTCATACACTGCTTGACTGTAGTAAACCTCAAAAATATCCACAACTAGAAATGAAGTTCTGGGGCCAACAGGAGGCTAGAGGATATGTGAAAAAGCAGCTGCTATACTACCCCACATGTCAGCTGTTAGGTGGGGACGCTGAGCGATGTAAACAAAATCCCACTGCACCTCTGGTCTCTTTGGGGCTTACTGCGCCCTCTCTGACATCATCTTCAGGCTCCAGGGAAGGGATTTATCGTGGACCACAAAGACTCTCCAGCTCTCTCCTGCCATTTCTGGGTTTGAACTGAATTCTTTAAATATTCATGGCATTGTGGATATACACGGTCACGCGCAAGTCGATCACACTTAAAGGTGGGAGGGTGCCTATATATGCTGTTTTGTGAAGACAAAACCAAGCCAGCCTTCACCCCAAATCTCTGCATACCTTTGAAAAATGCAGTTAACCAGGAACAGAACCCATGACACCCCAGATGTTATTAAGGTTCCCCTAGCTCTTAATATTTTGTAAGTCACTTTTTTTTTGGTAGGGAGTAACAAATAGATCAAAATAGTCATTTTCATCACAATATTATATGGAAACCAGATGGAAATTTGAATGAGGGCCAGTGATGAGAAATACTTCAACTATCCAATAACTAAACTATAGAATTTGTTCCCAAAAGATGTAGCAATGGCCATCTACTTGGATGGCTATTAGACAGATTCACAGAGTGGAAGGCTAATGAGAGCCACAAGTCATGAGGACTATAGACTTCTGAACACCAGTTGCTGGGAATCACAGGAAGGGAGAGTGCTGTTGTGCTCAGATTCTGCTTTTAGGCTTCACATCTGGACATCTGATTGGCCATCATGAGAACAGGATGCTGGACTAGGTGGACCTTTGGCCTGATCCAAATGGGCTCTTCTAATGTTCAAATGTACAGTGTGTGTGTGTGTGTGTGTGTGTGTGTGTGCCAGTGAAGAACATATGATTACTTAGAAGCAAAAACACCAAAGAAATTAGACATTTAGAAAACCTTACCCTTGTGAAAATGACACTTCTGCTTGTGTGGAAATGTGCTTTTTGGTAAGGCAGATTTTTAAAATATATTTATTGGAAATAATTGGCAGATTTCACACATCTCTGAAAGAGATCAGCTCGTGTCTATCATGAATTTTCAGCGGGCCCGGTTGCTGCGTGTGGCTGGCACAAGGAAGATAGAAAAAGGCCTTCTGCTTAGGCATGAATCTGAGCAAATAGAAAGAGGTCCAGCAGGGTTTCAGCGAAAGGTGGTGAGCCTCCGATGGGTCAAGCAAAGAAATCATTTCATCATGTTGTCATTTTTTTTTATTTCCTTACAACATCCAATGTAGCAATCAGCCATTCTTTCTCAGCATGGTGCAGCTGCATTCGCAAGTTGACTCAGCGGTAGTCTGTATAAACACGGCTCCTACAGGAAGGAGTTTTATGTGTGTGACATTAGTCTTGTTCACAGGGGGAAATGCTAGACATTCCAGTCCATTCCAATTTGCCGAAGGTAAACACACGGCACAATTTTTTAGATTGGCCTCTCGCATCGGCCCTACTGCCCGGCCATAAATAGAGAATGAAAAAGGCGCTCACTCGAAGTCCAAACAAGCACTGGAAACAAAAGGAGCAGGGGGGTATACTTACCCTGCTTGAATTTGAATTCTCCAAATCATCATCCACAACATAGACATCAATACCATCTCTTGGGGGATTTGGCAGTTGACCAGTTAAAACTGTTTCTTGAGCTTGCATTTCCCCCATTATATTTATATTATTTTGATGGCAGGTGGAGTGGGGGAGGAATTTGCAATTTGTCACATAATTTGGGAAAAAAATATTTTTGAAGACAAAATGAAATTATTTTTTCTTTCTGTGGCTCCCTCCACTCCCAAGAGTCATCGGTATGAAACTATACAAATTTTAAAAGGAGATGTTGCAAATGAAATTGGATTTTTCGCAATGGGCTTCCACGCAGTACTGGAGAAAAATGTAGCTTTTTGCCAGTTACTGGACATGGAAATTAAGGCTTGATTAGACTGGCAAAAAAGGTGGTGGTTTTCTCCTTTGTTGCTGGAAACTAAAAGAAGATCAACATTCATTTTTACCATGTCTTTTTGTACAGACGACTTATGAGCTAGGGAATTGGCTTTTAAAATTCAGATGCAGTCGAGTTGCATCATACATAGGGGTTTGGTTCTGAGGGTCGTGCATAAATGTGAAAATTGCTCATAGCCAAAATTACCTTTCATTTGGCTGGCAAGAGTGGCCACAAGAGGCCCATGTCTCTGCTGCTGCCCCCTACTCCTCAACATACAACTGACTAGTGGAATGGAGGAGGAGGGTGGCAGGCAGAGACAGAAGAAACCAGAAGGGGGAAAGCGGAGGGAGGTGGTCAGGAAGAGACAGGCAGAAATAAAGGCTTGAACAGATCTGGAATGGAGCTACAGCCTGTCACATAAAGTTATATGCGTGTAAGAAAAATGTGCATTTGGTGCAGTGCAACTGCACTATTTCCGACGAGTGGATTGGCCGAATCCACTCCCTTGTATGTAAAAAAGAGAAAAAGATTTTGGGCTGTGGAATGAGTCTCTAGCAGATTGAGCCTATGGCCATAGACTAATTGCTATATGCCAGGAATGAGGGGCCTTTTCTCCTTCTGTGGCCCTCTCCCCAACGTTGTCAGCATATTCTGCATCTAGTAACAGACATCTTGCTGGGGTGGTGCCACTCACCTGACCTCTGTTCTATCATGTTGCTGCTTATCAGAAGGCAAACGGTAAGGCAGCGGGGAGCTTTGGTGGTGCTAGTGTGCTAGATTGGCTCTCTTGGAGCTTTTGTATTGCTCTGACCTCCCTGCCACCTCACCCCTTCCTCACTACCTTCTAGTAAGCAGCAACATGCCCAGTCAGAGGTTGGGTGAGCATGGCTCACAGTCTAAAGTTGGAGATAACTCTTTATTAGCAAAAACACGAACTTTACAGACTGGGCTCATACCTGGTGGGTCTTCCTTCATGAAATCAGTTGTTGAGACTAAAGGTTTCTGACTCCCCACAGCTGTCCATGTCTCCTCCTCTCCAGGGCTTTTCTCAAGCAATTGGAGACTGTGTCTCCATGTAGCCAGTCTTTCCTCCACCATTTTCACGCCTCTCCTTGTTCCTTCCTCCCACCCTCCTGATTCAGCTTCAGCCTTTGATTCTGGGCTCCTCTCCACCACCAACACCCCCAGCTCATTCAGTCCTGCTACCCCTTCAGCTTCCAACATCTCCTGTTCCCAGAATTCTCCCTCTGATCACTCATCGTCATCCCACCACCACTCCCCAGGCTCTGAGCCTTCTTCCATTGGTGGTTCCCCAGATGATTCCTCGCACCATTCCTCTGTCTGCAACCAGTCCATGACAGGTGAGTGGCAGTGCCCCACCATCCTCTCTGCTAAAGGCTGTAGCATCCAGGAGCCTTAGTCCTTGTTGCAGTATTCCTGTAAGGGAGGTATGGGGAATCTGTGCCTTTCCAGATATTGTTGGACTCCAACTCCCACCAGCCTCAGCCGGCATGGCCAATAGTCAGAGATGATGGAGGCTTTAGTCCAGCAACATCTAGAGGGCCACAGGTTTCCCACCCCTGCTTTAGAGGATAAAGGGGATTTGGGTACCATCATGGCTAGGGAACACTGATTGGGGGTCAGACCCTGATTTTTTAGCCCCAGCATCTGTTCGTTGTTGTTTACAAATCAAACTTTTTTATAGTAGAGTGATCCCTACTCCTTCATCTAGGCATATCAGTAATCATATTTGCTTTGCCCACCTTCAAGAAGTGTCTCCTTGTCTTGCTATCTTGATATGACTCTTGTATCATTGTTTTCTGTGTTCCAAGGAATCATGACTTCGACTAGTAACAAAGACTTTATCCCCTAGCGCAATTTACATTCTCCTTTTAAAAATGTGGCAGTGCAAAAAAATGTAATTGAGCTAATTATTCCTCCAGATTAGAGGGGTTGCAAGGCCATTATTTATTTTATGTGAGCAGATAAACCACAATTTTGCATCAGTTTGCAATTTTTAAAAATGTAATCATAAAAAACTATCAGCATTTTAGGGCACACTTCTACTATGCATGCTTTTGTATGTAATTTGCTGAATATACTTGTTTTTTCAAGCAACAGATATTTTTAGTTTTATTACTTTTATCAATCACCTTCTACACCAGTTTACACATGCTTAACCAGGAAGTGCATAATACTTATTCACATTTCTTTCTTTTTTGGTGGGTTGGGGGAGACAACACCCCACCATTTCATTTCATTTTCCTGTTGAATCAATCGAGTTATTTATTGGGGGGGGGGGTTAAAAAGAAAGCCTTTTGTGGACGTCTTGCAGGCATTATTTGATTAAGTTGACAATATTATGTGAGCAACGGTTGAGTACCCACCGTGCTGTTCTTTTGACCAAATTGATTTGTGTAATGAACACTTGCTCTCTCTTTGAATAGGCCTCTTGATTTAAGCAGTAATGCCGGAAAGCCGAGTGAATTTACAGCCCCCACAGCCATTCTCTTTCAATCCAGGGAGAATAGTGGTGGCAGTTCACAGAAAAGCGTAACTCAATACATTGTGCTATAAGCGCGGGGCAGAGGGGAAAAAAATAATATCGCCCAGGTTTTGCAATATACCTATTTGATTTGATTTGTAAGCCTGATAAAAAAGCAATTGAGAAAGGTTCAGGACAAATTATATATACATGCACACAGAGACACACAAACACAGCCACATGCTTTCTAAGTAGCCCAAGAAGCTATACAGAATGCATGCAGGGTACTAAATAATAATAATGAATTGCAAACTCTGTGTATGTGTGTGTTTCTCAGTTTAGAGTAGCACCACTGAAAATGAGGCAGGATCAGGATCCTGGCATAGCAGGTGGTGTAAGTCAGCTGGGATAGCTCAGTTGGTAGAGCATGAGACTCTTAGGGTTGTGGGTTTGAGTCCCACATTCGGCAAAAGATTCCTGCATTGCAGGAGATTGTACTTAGCCTGCTTTCCTGAACAAGCTTCCCAGATCTAAACTTTAAATGTAGGAAGCTTGGGGAGAAGTTAAGGTTTGCTTGCCAATGAGCAACACCCATTCATGGTTAATTACAGTAAAATATTACAGCTTGCCATGTTAATTACAAGAGAATGGAGGGACATTTCACAGGCTGGCTGTTATCAGTGGGTGCTCTGCTGATGGTTTAAAAACAATTTATGAACCACAGATGAAAATGGAACAGAAGCAATAATCCCAATTTTAAAAATCCCTCCATCATTTCCATTCTGAATCTCCTTTGGGTTAATATTGATACTGGCCGCTTTGTGACATAGGAAGCTGCCATGTACTGAGTCAGACCAATTGGGGCACCCAGCTTTCCTCAGCTCTGCCTGGAGATGCTGGAGCTTCAATCTGAGCGAGAGCCTTTTCTCAGTTCAGATGCAGCTGCAAACTAGGCTTACTGTGAAGCTGGAAGCAAGGGATGCATGCTTTCTCATACAATGGCTCTTGGAACAACATTACATCATGGTGCTGGCTGGGGTTTAAGAGAGTTGAAGTTGAAAGCGAATGGAGAGAACTCAGTTGGGAAAGGCTACTGTCTCTGCATGCAAGGAAGGAGCCCATAGCTCAGTGGGTATAGCACCCCCAGCATCTCCAGGTAGGGCTGGGAGAAACTCCTTACCTAATATGCTGGAGAGCTCCTGCCAGTCAATGTAAACAATACTGAGCTAGATGGAACAAGGGTCTGATCCAGTATAAAGCAGCTTCCTAGTTTCCTATATGGGGACGCGGGTGGCGCTGTGGGTTAAACCACAGAGCCTAGGACTTGCCGATCAGAAGGTCGGCGGTTCGAATCCCCACGACGGGGTGAGCTCCCGTTGCTCAGTTCCTGCTCCTGCCAACCTAGCATTTTGAAAGCACCTCAAAGTGCAAGTAGATAAATAGGTACCACTCTGGCAGGAAGGTAAACAGCGTTTCCGTGCGCTGCTCTGGTTCGCCAGAAGCGGCTTAGTCATGCTGGCCACATGACCCAGAAGCTGTACGCCGGCTCCCTCAGCCAATAAAGCAAGATGAGCGCCACAACCCCAGAGTCGGCCATGACTGGACCTAATGGTCAGGGGTCCCTTTACCTTAGTTTCCTATATACAGGACTGTAGTCATATTCTGAACAAAACAAAATCAGACCCAGGGGAGCAAAAAAATAAATAAAAGGATTGCCCCCACCGGAGACTGATGCTTGGTAGGAAAGCAACTCCACAAAAACCTGGGGCTGGTGCCACGGTGAGGAATGTAAATTGGCTAAAGAATGATAAATTAAATTTGACATACGAAGACACATTCCATTGTGAAGATGTATGCATGCCCTGCATATAGTTTTCTCTGTGCATTTGTCAATACCTAAATCAAATTTTACCAAGATTAAACTTGTGTAGCTCTGCCTTATTGATTGAGTTAGAAATGATTATGGAAAAAATGAGCCCCAGAGTCCCAGATTAAAGTAGTCGCAAAATGCATTCAACAGTCTTCAAAGAAGCAGTTTAGTTTCAACAATTGGAAATGTGGGGGAGGGGGGATGTTACCGAAATTTTCAGGCTGGGTATTCTTTCAGTGCATGGTCTTGTGTATGCTAATGGTGGCTTCAGGAACAGCCTCTGTGGCTTCTGTCTTGTTGGTTGACTTTTGCTATTCACAATGCAGAGATAACTGCCCCCCCCCTTCCCAAACTGGGCAGCTGGTCATCAATAACTGGAGTAAAATATGTAATTGTTTATCAGGCCTTTTAAATTAAAAATACAATCTCAGTGGAGCCAGTGAAAAGTCATGCAATAAATGGGTGGAAATGACCTTTTCCGTAGAGATGACAAATGATGTCTCAAATCTCCAAGCTAGAAAGTAGTTGGACATTATAGCTGATGTATATAGTGCAGATTTATAGAGCAGGGCTTGCGTTGTTTCTCTCTCTTTTTCTCTCTCTCCTCTCCTAAAAAGTTCCAAGTAAGTTATGTTCCATTCTATTGTTTCAAGTTGCATGGAAGAATTCTTTGCTCGTCTGAGTGTTGGGCCACAAAATATTCAGCCTGATAAATCACAGCAGGTTGGATCAGCATCAGCGGCACAATCTGTTGAAAGGGATACGACTGGCTTTTCTTTTTGCTGTCCTGACTGCAACATTGCACCTTTCAAAGAACCTGTGTTGCTTCTGTACCAGAATTTTCTCTATTTGCATCAGGAACAGCCAATCTGTCCATTTTTGTTTCTCTCTGTTTTTCATTTTTCCAATCTTAAGTAGAGATGGAGGAGAGATTTTGTTTGGTTCACATTTAAGGGTGAACTTACCTATTTTGTACTTCCCAAAACAATATGTGAACTAAAACAGAATCATCCTTCCAGATTTGCAGGTCTCCTAATTTTGCATTGCAGTTCTCCAGTCAAGTAATGTGAACAAAACATGCATTTACTGCTGCAAAGTGTACATATAAATGCATATTTTAGTGACGATAACATACAAAAAGGTATTGCATTAGGGAAAATTGCTTTGCAAAAATATTTATACTGGGCAAGATTTTGCATAAAAACGTGTATATTATGAGAAATGGGCACTAAAATTCTGATGAATTTTTACGAGAACTGATATAAAATGAAATGGACACATTTGCCCAACCCTCATCTGAAATCCACTTAAATCCACTTAAATGTCTGCATGAAAATTTGTACACATTTTGGTGTGTTTGGAGGCTTCCCGCTGGAGCTTCTGGTTCTGAGAAGAAAATGGTGGGCTAGACGGACCTTTGGCTATTTTCTTTGTCTGTTCTGGCTTCTAGAAAGCATTTTCTAGTTTGTTGGGTTTGTGGCTTTGGCATGGTTGGGTTAATAGCCAGGTTTTGGAATTACAACAACCTCTGTAGCTTATGTGTGTTTTCTTGGAAGTATACACCACTGTGTTGAATGGAGCTTATTTCTGAGTAAAGCATGCATAGAATTGCAGCCTGTATGATACCGGCTAGGTTAGATTGTGCTTAGTGCAACTGGCATTTCTCAGTACTCTGCAGCCTCCCCAGTTTCCCATACTTGCATTTACTCTTAAGGGGAGGACATCGTGAGTAGGCCTGGGCAATATATCGCTCAGGACCAGTCTGTAGGGGCAGACATCGATCTGGCCAGCTTCACTCAGCGGTATATCACTGGGGAAACCATCACCGCTCATGAGTCCCTCTGCCTCCAGCGCCCAGAGCACTGGCTGGGAGCTGGAGGCTGAGGGACTCTAAGTGGCGGAGGTTTCACCAGCGATATACTGCTGGTGAAGCCGCCATCACACTCTGCCCTGGCAGAGGGAGAATCAAGCTGAATCAGAGAGGTGCCAATACAGCTTGTTTCTTCCTCTGCTTCTTTAAACTGCTTGGCTGAGGAGCACTCTGCTGCCCTCGCCTCAGCCAAGTAGTTTTATGGAGCCATGGTCCATCACCAGCTCACATGATCCTGCAGCAGGATGGGGGCTCCGTTAAAGTGCTCCCCTCTCCCCAGCTGAGAGAGGCTTGACCCCGCTCCTGCTTGCATGAAAGTAGGAACAGGATTGGGTCTGTTCAGCTGAGTAGCAGAAAGCCTTCCCTTCCCAGCTGAGATCCCCATCCTCGCCTGGCTGCCTTCTCCAGGAAGGTTTGCTGTGCCTTTCCCCACAGAAAGACAGATCCCATCCTCTGGTTGAAGGCAACTGGGTGGTATAGGGGATCTTTGATGCTGCTGACGGGCCCAGTGCTCACCAGCAGCCTCCAGTAGCCCCTCCCCACAAGGCACAGATAGGGTGACTTTGCACCTTGTGCCTTGCGGACTTTGCCTGGGAGGGTGGGAGAGCCAGTGTGGTGTAGTGGTTAAGAGCAGTAGACTCGTAATCTGGTGAACCCGGTTTGCTTCCCTGCTCCTCCACATGCAGCTGCTGGGTGACCTTGGGCTAGTCACATTTCTTTGAAGTCTCTCAGGCCCACTCACCTCACAGAGTGTTTTTTGTGGGGGAGGAAGGGAAAGGAGATTGTTAGCCGCTTTGGGACTCCTTCGGGTAGTGATAAAGCGGGATATCAAATCCAAACTCTTCTCCTTCTTCTTCCTGGGATGAACGACCCCTTCACTGGAGGAAAGAGGCAGTGCACCCGCACGGGCAAAGGTGAAGGATGTCAAATGCACAGAGCCTGACAGGTTCCATGCTCTTGGCTATTACTGCTTAGTCTGTCTTTGTGGAGTGGGGGGCTAGTGGGCAAGGTAGCTCGCTTGCCCCACATGTCAGCAAAGGCAGAGGGAGCTTGGCCAAGGAGCCCCAAGATCCTCCTGCTCCAGCACGAGCAGCAGGGGACTTGGGGCTGGCTTTGCTGGGGGCAGGAGCCTTTCTGCCACGCCAGCTGGGCAGCAGGCTGGGGCCAGCTATATTCGCCACAGCCTGCGAGGTACTGGGGTGAAAGTGCCTAAGCTCTCATGATGAGAGCTGCTGCAGTTTCACCTGGCAACTCGTGGGCGGGGGCCAATGCAGTCTTTTTCAACATCATGGTATATCACCAAACCACGATGTTTGGCTGGTGATACACCGTGATGTTGAAAATCCAACATCGCCCAGCCCTAATAATGAGATAAGTCCTCCCATGGGGCCTTTTCAGATCAGGCAGCCAGGAAGGCTATAGAGTGCTGGGCAAACATTTGAATGGGAAAAGAAACTCACACGATACTCACAGCCACCTCACAGTGATCAGGTAAGCTCAGCCTCACGCACCCCTAAAATTATAAAGAAATTCTAAAGTGCCCTGAGAAAGGGGTTGAAGAATTGAAGTTTCTTTTGAGAGGGAAGAATACATTTGAGAAATTGGAGGGTACAGTCACTTATTGAAATGTCACTGAAAATCAGAGTCAAAGCGAGTTTGAAAGTCCTTCCACAGGCAAACCTCTCACAAATTACGAGGGAAGCCAAAAATGAATTTCAGGAAGATGAGTGAAAATTCTCAAAGGAGTTATGTGCTTTGTTAGCCTTGTTAGACCAGTTTTATACCTGATATTCCCGGTCTTCTTTTTTTGTAATGGAACTTCAATGGTGGTGGTGACTGCTGCCTTTTCCAGGGTACCCAGAATTGCCAGGAGGTCCCTTTTCAAAGATGCTCAGGTGGAATTAGAAATGGAGAAGAATTCAATTTGTTTGGCATTTTTTGTTGAACTGATCCTAATTTGCACCTTCTAAACCAATACATCAATCAGAATATAATGATCTTTTGAATTTCACACTACTATTTTGCTGAAGGGAAACTCCCAGACCAAAATGTGTTTGAAAATTTTGGAATAGAATATGTTTACAACTGCATGCATTGAGATAAAGACACATTTTTTAAAATATACATTCCCGCACACATTTTTAAATGAACAAATGAATCAGTTTTTTGTAGAAAAGTGATGATTTATGAAGAAACACATGCAGAATTGACATGCACCCAAAATCTCTAGACCAGCCTTTCTTAACCTTGGTTCCCGAGATGTTGTGGGACTGCAGTTCCCATCATCTTTGAACACTGGCTGTTCTGGCTAGGAATGATGGGAGTTGTAGTCCAACAACATCTGGGGAACCAAGGCTGAGATGCTCCAATACTGAGTCATGGTTCTTCCCCTAATAGTATCAACCTTGCACAATTTATGAGAATGAAATTTGAACAGAGATGATGATGGTGATGATGTGTATATTCGTAGTAACTTGTATATAGCAAGGGGAGATACCATAAATGGCTCCCCAAATCTTCAGCAATCTTTGAAAAATGCACTGCCAAATGAGATGGCAGTGGGGAGGGGGAGGAGTTCAAGGAAAATCTTCCTGTGTTTTAGAAAATGCATGTGTTTATTCCGTGCTTTCACTGTTTATTTGTTTGGTTTTGTGCCAGAAAATTAAGTTCATAAAGGTTCTTATGCAAAAAAAGTATACACATATATATATCTACAGTATGATTAATTAGGTATCCCATATTGTCTTGAAATTTCTAAACAGAAAAGAAAAACAGCCCAGAGCATTCTTAACGTTTTGGTTTGCAAAAGATGATTAATTTTAATTTTCAGATGACATAATGAAATTAATTGCTTTCATGTTGTTGAAGCAGAAGGCCTCTAAAACTTGCTATCAGGCTACAAAATGAAAGTAATATGCATGTATATTATGGATTGTGAATGTGACTCTTTCCCAGGCAGGCTAAGGTACTATTCACTCATTTATTTCTGTTTGTTTTCCCCCTATTCCAGTCCTGACATGGAAATGTGCTCGGAGTTTGTGCGTCAGATCAAACTAATTTGAACACACACTTACTGGAAATGTGTTGTCGTGTGTCATAGATTTGCATCCATGACCAGCACCACCTAGTGGTGGAAATGGAACTGGAGTAAAGAAATGAACAAGAGGAATCTAGAGGGAACTAAGATTTCTTATTTCAGATAAAGCCCAGGAGCACCTGAGAAGCTTCTTATATCCTCACTGCCAGCTTCTCTCCTCCCTGGCCATCACATGGGCATTCTTATCCTGACTCTGAGCTTCCCACCAGCTCCCCTGCCACTGATTCTTGAGGTCCAAGGGCTGAAGGTCAGAAATTGGGTGTCACCCCTGAAGCTCCCTGCTTAATTAAAATTTAGGCAGGCACCTTTGCTGTATTGTTTTCAGCGCTTGCTAAAACTTTTTTGGTTTAGGAAAGCCAGCCTGGATTCACAATTTTAAAATCAATTTTAACATGTTATTTATTTGTTGGCATCTGTCTGTTTCGAGAGTCAATGGAGTATCCCTCCCAGGGTTAGCAGCACCAAAGTGATTTCCAGTGGCAGAGCTAGCTGCATGGGCGCCCAGAGCGGCAGCCATGCCATGCACTGGGGGGGGTGATCTGCGAGTTGCGCGGGGGGGCATGTGATCCACGGTGCACAACGGCGGTAGTTGAGAGATCTGCGGCACGCAATGGCAGTGGTGGGAGAACTGCGGGGGGAGGGGGCGAGCCACCATGCACAGGGGTGGCAAAGTGAGCCCCCACGGTGTGCCTTTTTGTCACCCCCTCATGAATGACACCTGGCGCGGACCACCCCCACTGCCCCCCTTCCTTTTTTAAAAAAATCATTTTTATTAAATTTTCCATTTTAACAATCCAATCCAATCCAGTCACATTAAATATTCCAAATTATGCATAACACACACACATATAAAATAATCCAAATATTCTGCCAAATTATAATTTTTTTAATGGGACTTCCCAAGCTTCAAGTTCGGAGGGTTCTGATCATCTCATATCTCTTACTGCTTTTCACAGTCATTTCCAATAGTTCCTCTAATTCTTCCTGTTGTTAACCTTCCTTCTTTCATGGCCTCTGAGTTGTTCCCACAAGTGAGTCAAAACAAGCAATGATGTGTTTCTGTGTGGATTTTATGTCCCACTGCCCCCCATCCTATGCCCCTGGTGACCTCCCCAGGGCGCAAGTGTATGGAGGTCCTGGGATGCCCAGAGAGTACAATGTGGGCCAAAGGAAATCAGAGCACACAAGCACCATCCAACCATCTTAGGGACGCCATTCTGGATTTGTGTAGGGCTTACCCCTTAGTCTTTTCTTCTCTCCAGGATATCCCACAAGGCAGCAGGGGTTTAGGAACAGAGTTTTCCTTCTCCTAGATGGACTTCCTTCCCAGGTTGATGAGGCTCATTTAGCATGTATATTCATTATATAACCAAATCGTTTATTTATAGTTTGATACATTTAATGCCCGTTTGTTTTGTGACGTTTGATTTTATCTGAATTTTTAATTTTTAATCTTTTATATTGTTTTATGTAAAATGTTTAGAGCCTTTTGTTAAGAGGTACGTGAACCTTTTCAAATAAATGATTTAATTCAAATTGTCAGAAAGGCTGTCAAGGGGCTCAACAAGATGTCAGTGAGGGCTTTGTCAGTTTTACTCATTGTGGATCCACAGAAATGAATGGGCAGTTCATTTCTGGATTGAGTTTAAGGTGCTCCCACTAATGCTTGGGGAACCCTCAGGAATGGTGTTGGGAACAGTGTGGTCGAAGACCACCTGAAAGGAAGGGGTTCAAAAGCAGAGGGTAAGTTCTATTCAGAACAGACCCACTGAAATGAATGGACCTATGTTAGCCATGTCCATCGATTTAAATGGGTCGACCATGAGTAGGAATAGCATCACATGACCCACAGAGCTTCCACATCTGATCCCACTGGACCGGGAGGACGATATGTATGAAGACACACAGCTTCCTAACTGATGTTATTCATTCAGTTGACCAGTCTCCCCGTCCCTTTCTTGTTTATCCATTCATGAACACCAGTTTCCAGAGGAAATACAGGTCTGGTGTAACGAAACAATGCTGGAAGCCTGACTAACTTTCTTTTCTCTCCCTTCCCGCATTCCATCCCCGACCCCTGCTTGAATTTTTTTTAGCAGACAGACGATGCAGCACAGACCGACGGACAGCAACAGACACAATCTTCTGAAAACACAGAAAACAAATCACAGCCGAAACGGCTGCATGTCTCAAATATACCCTTCAGATTCCGGGATCCAGATCTCAGACAAATGTTTGGGGTAAGTACTTTGTATTATTACACAGTTTGCATTTTTAAAAATCTAGCATTTTAAAGTTGTGAACCGCCCTGAGATCTATGGATGAAGGGTGGTAAACAAATTTAATAAAGAAATTAAATAAATAAAAAAAATACTAGTTTACATTTGCATTTTTTAAAAAAGAAGAAGGTCCTCTTCAGATTGTAACCTCACACTTACTACCGTAAGTTTTGAATGTGCATCATCAGTCCTATAAACAGGGCTCAAGCCAGATGCAACTTCAGGAACATCTCAGTAGTTGCAGCTTTTTTCTATGTTCTCAGTGGGTCAAGGGGGTCTAGGTCCCACTCCATGGGGCAGGGTCTGTGTCAAGCACTTATTCTTAACCAAGAACCTGTGGGCAGATCCATACCAGACATTTATAGCACAGACCATTCACATTTAAAACACATGACTCCCCCAGGAATCCTGGGAACTGTAGGTTGTTAAGGATGTGGGCATATATTAGGGGAGTCATATGTTTTAAATGTGCATTGGCTGTGCTTTAAAAGTCTGGTGTGGATCTGCCTGCAGGTTCTTGGCTAAGAATAAGCTGCTGGGATTCATTGAGCGAAGTCATGTGCTTTAAATGCACATTGAGTGTGCTTTAAACTCATGGTGTGGATCTGTCCTCAGACAGTTGAAGCAGCTTCCACTGTTGGTTTCATGGAACCATCGAGACCATCTCAGAAGAAAACAGCAACAAAGGTCGAGTACACAACATACACCAAAAGCAAATTTAACACACACATACACCAAAGAATCCTGGGAACTTCAATTTATCCCCCACAGAGCTGCAACTCCAAGCGCCCTTAAGAAACTACAGTTCCCAGGATTCATGGAGGAGGGGGAATGCATTTTCAATATCTGGTGTGTACACAGCCAAAAAGTCAAGTACCACATCAAAGACTAGCAGATCTGTTTGTGTTTAAGGGGCAATATGACAGACGAAGGCTGCAGTCCGAATCCCCACTTGCCTAGGAGAATCCCCATTGAATTCAACAGGACTTAATTTTGAATAGTTGATGCAGGGCTGCCTTTAGCATATGCTGCGCCGGGGTGCCCAGCGTCACCAATTTTTTTTTTGGGGGGGGAGGCCAAAGTTGTTGAGCCTTTTTTAAGGGGGAGCCCAGGAGCTCCGAGTTCCTTAGCTTTTTTGGGGGGGCACACAACTCTCTCCCATGCCGTTGCAAGAGGAGAGCAATCCTTCCCCCGGGAGGGAAGCTACATTCCTCATGTGAGCAGTGTGCACTCTGCACACTCTCGACGGCCCACCAATCCCAAGCGTGCAGGAGGGTGGAGCCATCCGGCTGCCTCAGCATCCGCAGCAGAAAAGCCTGCAGCGCTCTGATGGGCTCCACTGCTCGGCAGCGGCTGTCGGCTGGCCTGGCTCTTTAATCCCCGGACTCCAAATCTCGGCCCTAGACTCTTAGCCTGGAACCTCTGAGAGCGCAGCGTCCGGGTGCCCTGCACCCCTAGTGCCTATGGATAAGCCGGCCCTAAGTTGATGAGAGTCAAATGGCAAAAATTGGTCATATAAAAAAGGGGGTAAAAAGGAACCGATGCAGAAATGTGCTAAACTGAATTTAAGATTAGAAAGATGAGAAACCTTGAGAAAAGGTTTCTTGCAGTAATCATAACAGGGAACCCCACTTAGGTGTTCCTCCTGCACATGAGATGCTCCCCTGCATGGAACAAGGGTCACACCATCAACCTGAATGGAATCTTCATCTCCACATACACCAAGTGGTGCATAGGAGCATACTTACTTGAAGTGCATAGAGTAGACTGCAAACAGGGATGTTTGTATGTGCAGAGATGAATCCGCTGGTAACTGTTTTTATTAGCTGCACTTCAGAATGCAGTTATTTTCCTACACTATAGAATCCTTAAAGTGTTGAAAAATCTTTTTTTGCGTTTATATGTTTCTATTGCATTGGTGTGTGTGGGGGGGGTATGTTTAAAAATGCTTATGTGATTTCTTCTTCTTTTTTGTTTCCTTGCAGCAATTTGGTAAAATCTTAGATGTTGAAATTATTTTTAATGAGCGAGGCTCAAAGGTAAGCAGTTGAATACACCTGTGGCAATGTTGAATTTGTTTGAAGTATTCAATACAAATAAGAGGAAGCAATTGCAGTGCTGTAATAAACCCTTTCTAAATATCCACTTCAACAGAAGCACCTCTTGGGCTGCTTCCCCCCACCCCCACCCCACTTTCTTTCTTGTCAATTTCCCAAACAGCGTGAAATTCATTGGCCTAATTTTGAATCCCTTTAAAGGGGATAATTTTAACTACGATAAACTGTCACCAGTTAAAGGAGAATATTGCCTTCTGCTTTTAAATATAATCAAGTGTTGTCTGCTGATTCTCTCTCCCATCCCTGATAATTGCCTTACTCATTTGGTGAAATTAGTTCAAGCTTGCAAGGGGGAAAAAAGATTGTTAGAATAGGTATATATTCTGCTCTTGAAATGGAAGCAAGTAATATAATCTAATATCCTCTGGAGTAATTACTTGATCAAGTGTGATTTTTTTTTTCCAGATTATGAAAGTGCAGCTGCTGTCCTGCTTAGTTAAAACTTTCAAAATGTTGCTAACCTTTTTGAATTCAGTTTCTGTGTTGCTTGAGCAAAACAAGAGACAAAGGCTGCAATCCTTTACCCAGTGATTTAGATCAATGGGACTTACTTTGGAGCAGGTGTGGGGAATGTTTGCCCCTCCAGATATTGCTGAACTCCAACTCCCATCAGCCCCAGCAACCATGGTCAGTCACCAGGGAAGAAGAGAGCTATAGTTCAGCAACATCTGGAATGCTGCAGGTTCCCCACCTCTGCTTTAGAGACTGGAGTACCTGTGGCCTTTCAGAAGTTGTTGGACTACAACTTCCATTAGACTTGACCCTTGGTGGCTGGGGTTGATGGGAACTGGAGTGCAACAATATCTGGAGGGTCACAGGTTCCTCACTCCTGGTCTACACTGTTTGGAATTGGCTGCTTTAACACCCTTCCCCCAATTTTGCTTAAAAGGGATGCAGCCTGAACCATGGAGTCTCTTAATAGCTGCTTCACTCTTGGTTTGGACATACAGGTTATCCACCCGATGGAGTGCAGAAGTAAGCTTTGGGCTCACATTCTCAGTAGTGGGTGGTGTGATGAAATAGTGGAGCTCACCTTGCTTCTGGTTGGTTGCACTGCGTTGCTTGCTGGGAGTCAAAGGGGAGGGGGAAGAGGGAAGGTTGGTGCATTCCAAGTGCACCCGATTGGATGGACGTAGCCAGGATTTATGTTAGGGGCAGAATCTCAGTTAAATATTTTTATTGATTTACTTGATGGGGGCGGCAGCTGCCCCCCTGCCCCCCTTGGCTATGCCCGTGCCAGATGGGCTCCACCGGTGTGTTTGCGTGGTGCCAACCACATCCGTCCCCCCTTTATCTCCTAGTAAACTCCAATGATGTTGCCAACTGGGGGTCAGGTAAGCCCTGCCACCCCACTCCACTATCTCGTACTCTTCAACATTCATATAACCAGTAATGAAAGTTGAGGCCTTGGTGTGGCACTGTGAGTTTGACCTGTGAGACCTACACTGTTCTCATCTATTAACATGAGGATGGGGAGTCGTCTTCTGCACCATGTCACATGGATAATCTAGGTGCCCAGACCTTGTGTGAATTGCCTGCAGGAAAGGAGAGGTAGTCCTCAGTTGCTGGCCTCCATCTGAACATGGACATTTCGGTACCAGAAGCCCTTTGCCCTTTTTTGCCCATTTAGGCTTCGCCCATGTCCCTGTCCCAACTTGCTCCCACTAGGAAAGCAATTCTGACTGTGCACAAGGGAGATTTCACTGTGATTTTGGTGCTACTGCTGAGGGCAGAATCCTAAGATCTGTTGTACCTGCACTACCTGAAGAGTCCATATACCAGTATTACAGAAATGGAATGGATTCTCTTCAGAGCATGCTACCCCACACAGGAGGTCAACGCCTTCCATTTGAAAGAAAACTTGTCTGTCCCCCTCCAGATGTTATTGAAATCCATCTTCCATCAACCAGCATGGCTTTGGTCAGTGATGAAGGGAGATGGTCTCCAACAACATCAGGGGCCCATATGTTCTCCACCTCTGTTTTAAAGAATACAGTTCTATACCCTCCCTCCCTTCTAGTCATACAGTTTTATTCTGAGGGAGGAGAGTTAACAGGGGTGGGAATGTCTAGTGTCTCACATTGTTTGAAAAGTTGGACTATATTTATGTACACAATGTTTTACTTGACTTTTTTGTAATAACTGAAATATTAAATTTCTCTGTCAGTACTAGATGAGATATTTGGAAGCTTAAAGTGCAAGTTCATATCTGTTGGAACATTCATTTAATAACGGTAGCAAAGTTAGATGGTATGAATTGCTTAAAGCACTATACTAAGCAAATGCTGAATTAGTAATGCAGAATTTTGCATTGCTGGGTGGAATCAGTCCCGCCACTTCTACCTTGGTGCAAGATGAGAGTCATGGCTACACAACTCATTTCATTGCAGGCAGTAGATGGGAGAGGACAGCCCAAAGTGGCTCTGCTTAGAGGCAAGATCCACAGGCAAGGAGCATGGCAAAGTTATTCTATGACGGCTGGAAAGAGAGGTACTCAAGGTCCCCCAGAAAAGCCAATGGTTATGGTTGATCTATATTTGTGTCAGCCATGCTCTGGTCAAGTTAGGGAGGAGGCAAGGTCCTTGGCCCAACGTGGTGTCCCTCTGGATACTTTGGACCACATCCCCCACCATCCCTGACAATTTGTTGTGCTGGCTGGAGCTAGTGGGGCTGGTGGGAACATCTGGAAAGCACCAGACTGGGGAAGGCAGTCAGAGGTGAAGCAGAGTTCTCTGGCAAGGTGGGTCAGGCAGGGAGAAGAGATAAAGATCAGAAGCACAGACCAAAGGAAGGGGTTCAGCTAATGAGTAAGAGCAGGTTCAATCCCAGGTTCAATTTCCTGCATCTCCAGTTGGACTGGAAATGTCCTCTGTGTGAAACCCTGAGAAGCAACTGCTGGGGAATATGTGGTTCCTCCAGATGTTGTTGAACTCCACTTCCCATCATCCCTGACCATTGGCTGTGATGGTTGGGGCTGGCTAAGGCATCTCGATCCTAGTGTTGTGTCCTTGGGCTTTCATTGTGAAAATAGGTGGTTCTGAAGAAATCCCCGTGAAAGTCATCATACTGAGATTGCTATTACTGTGTTATTCTAAGATCATAATTCCAGAGAGAACAAGCGAGAGTTTACTTAATTTTCCATTGAGACTCTTCAAGTTCCCTTCTTAGGCATGAGTCCACGGACAACCAAGAATAAGTGCACAGATCTGCTGCCTGCTTTGAAATAAATGGAAGCCTTTCTTGTAGGTGTTGGTGGTGAATCCAGAGCATTTATTTAAATTCCCATTCTGATAAGAATGACTGGGGTGAAGCAGGCTTCTCTCCTCGGTCTAGGAGTGCTGATTTTTGCAGTTGCCATTTCATTAGAAGTGAGTTGCCAGAAGGGTGCCATGGGTTGTATCCAATGGTAATCTTACTCAGACGAGACCCATTGAAATGAATTGACATACCAAACTTAGGTTCATTCATTTCAATGGGTCTACTCTGAGAAGAATTCAATTGGCTATCACCCTTTCCTTATGAGTAGCCCACAAGCTTCAGGTGTCCTCAAGGGGTGTGGCAGCTGCTGAGATCATCACAAACTGCACCTTTGGAGGCTACTGCTTGATTCCTGCTGTCTGGGGATTGCAAAAGTTGGTGACCTGCTTCCACCCAAAGTATAGCACTTTAGGCAAATCTATACAGATTTTGGAGCAACAGTGGGCTCATTCATATACAGCCCTAGCATATATATCCAATGTGCAGTGGGGGGTTGTTGGGGGAAGATGCACATTTTCAACCCCACCACCAGCATCTTAGAGAAGATGTTTAGTGTGAACCTGGACCATCCACCGTCATCTTTACAGTGGAGAAATGACATGGGCACAAATGACATGTGCACAATATAGGTCTTGATTTACACTAAACATCTGATGTGTGTGTTGATAGTGGGGTGTTGCAGATGTGCAAGGTGTGCTCACCCTCCACTGCATGTTGTGCATGTATGCCAAGCCTGTATTACAATCAACCCAGAACCTGATGCATGGACATTATTCTTATTTTAAAATGAAGTGAATAAGGAGGATGAAAACATGGTCTCATTCAGAGATACCCAACATGGTGTCCTCCAGACGTTGTTGGGCTGCAACTCCCATCAGCCTTAGCCAGCAAGACAATGATGGTCTGAGATGATGGGAGCTCTAGACCGATAATCTCTGAAGGACACCATGCTGCCTGCCTCTGGCCTAGCCAAACCTGGGTCGAGCTGTTTGCATTTCTGAATTCTGTTCTTTATTTATTCATGTCACACAATTATGTTTGATCTTTTTCTAAGAGTCAGGAAGTTTCTGCTCAGTTCCAAGCCCTATTTTCTTTCATTAGCGGTCCTTGCATTTTGTTTTGTTTTCCTGAGACCCCTCCTTTTTTTCTTTTTTCTTTTCTTTAAAGACAAAAAAAGTAAATATTATAGATTTCACCAAAATTTATAAAAACAACCCTAGTGTGTTGCATGTGAAAAATATGTTTCTTTGCTTCACAATGGCATGAAGGAACTAGTCCAAAGTTCTAGATGAGGTTTGCATTTTGGTGTTGAAATTTGTGCACAAAGTTTTGGTTTGTCTTACTATTTGGTTGAGTCGACTCTGCATGCCATTCAAAGTGAGCCAACTTTCTTTTCCCTCGCCATTCCCTTTTTATTTGTTTGTTTGTTTTCCTATGTGATGACATGGTTCCATTGGTTTAGGATTTTCCTTTCCTTTCTTTTTTGTTAGATTTCCTTCCCTCCTCCCCCCCGCCCCCCGCAGCGACAATTTAGATAACCAAACCAATAAATAAAAGCGAAAGGTATTTGGTGTTCATCCTTTGACTTTCTTCAGGGGATATTTAACTGATGAAAAGAGAGACAGAGAGAGAAAAGTTGTTCACGTTGGTCGCTTTATTAATTG